CGGCAACGTTGCATGCAAAATGGGCGCATTTGGGCTATAAATCAGGGTGTTAAGTTTTTTATTTTGGGCGCAAATGTCCATAACCCTTGGGGCGCAAATGGGCTACAGCCATCTCGAAGTACGCGATATTTTGTATGAGTTAAAAAAAAAAACTAGTTGGTTGTATCCTATACATAAACACTAAGTGGGAATAGACCATAAACTGGCAACATGATGTATTTCAAGTCCACACATTGCTGTCGGGTTACACCGTCACGGTATTCTTCCCTTATTGTCCATTATACYATTGTACCGGGGAAACAATTGACTAGAAATTATATTATCTTCCTATAGTAGGAAATTTATGACTGTCTTCAATCCATTTTTGTTCTTAAAACTCACAGGAAGTAATAGTCGTTTAATGTTTGAATGTGTTTTGGCAGACTGAGGTAGTGTCGGAAACAACGACCGAACGCAAAACAGTGAAGAAAAAGTCGTCTACAGCTGGCGGTGAGGCGTCTACCACGGTTGTCAAAACTAAAAAAACCAAAAAGTCGAAAAAATCTGACGAAAAAGAAAACATATCTGTAGTAAGTTTATCCACTATGTATTTATTTCATCTCCTTTAAAATGTATACTAAGCATAATATTAATATCTTTTCCTGGCTTTTTATTATTATTATTACTCTTACCTACTTCTCTACAAGGTAAGATCATAACCTCTTTTATCTTTAACTCACATATTATATATATTTTTAAAGTTTGTTAGTGTTGTCTTAACATAATTATGCGTGAATTGCATTTTCGTTTAAAGTTTGTTTTTTATTTTAATTTGAAAGTTTTCTTTATATTTGACGAGTGTAATTTATAATATAATTCTTTATTTTGATATTTGTATTTCTTTTTAAACAAATTACTTCACCTAGGTATTTAATAATTTTATTAAACAAAAAGTCACATTAGTAATTCTAGCTTGTAAATATCTTTTATATAATTAGTCAAATGASAATTTTATAATAATGCCTTATATATTACAATATGTCATCTTTCAAAACTACTCCACTTGCTTTTYCCTACGTCATATCTGCTTTTATATAGATTTAACAGTGTTAAGTTTTGCCTATTATGTGTGGCTTTTGTAGAATTTAAATGGCCATTTGACAAATGAAATAAAAGATGGTCAGTACGACGACTATATTGTTGAGGAAGATGACTTATCTAACGTATGCGTTCGAGACCTCGTAAGTATTCAAAATTATCGTTTTACTAAAATTAGTAATTTTCAATATTGTATTATTGTAGTCGATTCTTGAGTTAAGCCTCCAAGTTCGTAGATATTAGTTTCTCAATTAGTAACCTATAACAGTACAATGAGATCATGTTTTCGTTTACAATAGTCCATTTGGGTGCAAGCATTTACATTGTCCAAGAATTAATTGGATGTTGGCCTTGGATTTCTCATATATTTTCTTTTGTATGTATAGTATTCTGTCGTGAAATTAGTTTTGAAGTAGTTAGTATTAGATAGATAGGTAGGTAACATTGGTAGCAAAGATTCCCGAGTAACATTTCGAAAATACCGTTCAAATATAATAGAAATATTCATTTCATATGTAAAATATAATAATATTATGATGTATAAATAGGTAAATAGTATATATACTACCTAACAAAATAAAAAATAAATATAATTCCTTGATCCTTATTAATTTATTTTAAAATAATACTATGGCTTAGAAAATTTCATGATACATTTCAATTTTCAATGTAGTAATTTATATACATATTAGCTGTATGTTTTGAAAAATATAGATAGTAGGTACCTACTATCTATATTCTGCATGTTATAACAYGGAGGGATATTGTGCTTATTTTGTCCTTTAAAGTTAAATTTTCTTAACTTAATTTATTTAATATTATTTGCTATTAAAAGCTAAAATATCTTAAAAAAAAAAAAATTGTTAATACAGGTGAAATATTTTTCACAAATCATAATTCCCTTACCTTAAATATTGAATATTTCGTTATTCGACAACATATTCGTGTTGCTGTTGAATTATTTATCAGGCTGGATAAACTAATTGGCTCTATGTTTCATATATCCACCTTTACATTAGTTTGACTTCGTTTTATCTAATAATATCTACGCATCTTTAGTCATTACCTCATATGGTTCGTTCTACTTTTGAACAAGATTCCTATATTGAGAATGTACCGTATTGTGTCATCAGCACGTTTAGAATAGTGAAGAATGAGTTATAAAATATTAGTAATCTTACTTTGCATATTGTAATRAATGAAATGAGTCAATCTATACTCTAAAATGTCTTCGTTGCTAATCCTAATAATATACATTTCTGTCATATTTTTTTTTAATATTAATCACGTATTTGGGATTTGGGATTTAATTTACAGTAAAAAATTATAATAATAAAATGTTGCTTCTTAATATTTAAATTAGGTATATATTTTAAATAAATTCTTTATTTTTCATCTAAGTATATCCCTTCCATAAAATTAATAAAATTACTTAGTGTAGGTTACTATTTATAATATCGCATAGCTAGTACACGTCATCCAAGTGTATGACACATGTTTAATTTTATTTAAAAAATGTTGTCACATTGTTTGTCAGGCTCGATTTGATTTTTTTTTTTTAAAGAAAAATTAATACTAGAAATATTGAATTAGGTTTTATACTTTTATATAATGATATGGTGATTCATTAAATTTCCCATACTTTACTTTAATATATATAAAAAAAAACGTCAACATGTTTATTTTAGAAAGAGAAAAAGTATATTATGTTGTCTTAAGCATGCTTTGATGATTTTACCCAACCGGAAGTTTAAAATAGAAAATTAAATATATAAAAAACACATTGGCTGCACCTTCGTTTGAATTCAATAACCGAGATCTAGTCCACCAACTATAGTTTGTTTACACATCATACTAACGTACTCCTCCCTAATAATTATGAAATCAAGTACAATTAAATATTTTTACAATTGATATCGTCTAGAATTAGGATTGTTGGGAGGTTATCTATTTATCTTGAAATATAAATTATATGAATAAAATATAATTGGCCTATGGTATTTTTATTAGCTGAGATAAATGTGTGAAGTAAACAATGGTTTTATTTATAGAACACAATGTGTTGATTATATAATAAACGTTCTAAAATACTTRTTTATTTTTTTTAAAATTATTATTGCATTTTCCATGTTTATAATTATTATGAAGCTAATATATTTAAACAATGAGCGACATGGTAAAACTTTTTATAGGCTTTATTTTTTATTTGATTTTTTTTCATAGGGAACTTAGACWGAGAAAGTTATTAAGAACTAGTGTTCTGTAAAATATATTATTATATTAAGACGATTTATAAGGTATAATTTCTAAAACAAGTGGTTTTCATATAACTGGGTATGTGGGTATTTACTACAAATCAATTTAATTTATGATTCAGAGTTCGCACGATGTGTTAAAAAATAATATATTTTAGTTTTGTTTGAACTTCCGATTGTCTGCTTGCTTTTTTATGTTTTTATTTTTATTTTTGTGTGTGCTTTGGTAGAAAAAATCCTATTGCGATGAAGCTAATCGAAAGTCTTCCTCCGTTATTATGCCAGAGGAGCCTGTACCCGCTTCTATTCCCATAGATGAACTGGTAAGTAAAATGTTGTATTTTTTTCTCCCTCATTCCATTCTAAAAACAAATCGATGAGTTGCTTTTCGTGTATGTTCGTGCTTTTATTTTTGTTGCATCTATGTGATTTGTGTATGCGTGTTTATTTGCTATTTGTTTTGTAAAGAAGCGAAATTTTGTTGGTGCCATCAAGAAACAACCATCCGGATGTGAAAACGGAATGATAAACGGTTGTTCGGTAAGTTTAGGTTCTTTAAACTGTTAAACGCTTATAACTATTATAAATGTTATACACTTACTATGCTTTAGTTTATTTTTGTCGTCTTGTTTTAATAATCAGTAAGGTTAAGGAATGTTATTTTRAAATACCTTTAATGCATGTAGGTAATAGATAGTAGCTACTAATATGAGGCAGATTGGTATTATACTATCGTATATTAATATTTACATATTTTCTTCGTAAGCATTTATTTATACGAGAAAAATAATAAAATTGTACTTATAAAATCAAATATTGATTTTCGAGGAATTAATAACCAATAGGTACGTTCAAATTGAGTAGGTACTGAAAACATATTTTATTATATGACTCAACGTATACCTGCTGTATTCTTATTCTCAGATCCAATAACGGGGAAAGATCGTGGATATGGATAATGAAGTGGAGTTATAGTATATCTTTATAGTTATAAATTATTGTAATAGGTACTTATTCAATTTCAAACTGAAATTAGATCGAATTCAATCCATATACCTATAGCTAATGAACCCTAATAA